TTAATTGAGTTTATTACAGAAAACAGAGCATCTATTAGCACAACTACACAAGGCACAAACCAAACTTCAGGAATGAAAGTGCTCATTAAGATGATGATGATGTTCATATTAGTAAGCTTACAGCTCACTCTGTTCAGTGCCTCTGCTTCCAGCCTGATGAAAAGGATGTGACTGGTTTGATGTTGTTTGATATCTCAGTGTTTCATCATAAAAGTGTGCAGGAAACTCAGGAGGCCCCAAAATACTTTATATTAACAGAGCAAAAGTGGAAACGCACAGTAATGCAAAAGAAACCCCTTTTTATTTTTCCCAACAGTATCTTCATTGATTTAAACAAAGACCTACACGCACACACATCTAGTATGTGTACATATACAACCACGAACACGCAATAGAAAAGAACGCCAGAACAAAGTCTCAGTTCAACTGCAGAGTTTTTTTAAAATTTGATTTTCCACAACTGCAGAGTATTTAACACTCATTTAATCCCCCGCCCACCCCAGAAGTATGAATTTAAAGATAAATAGAATAAAATAAAATAAAATAAAATAAAAAATAGTAAATGAATAAATGAGAGAGGAAAATAAATAATTAACCCTTTGAAACCTGAGAAAATTGGCTTGATTTCTTAAAAAATTGGGAAGAAGGCAATGAACAATGAAACAAAAAATTACCCAAAAAAATTAGCAAGAAATTAGTAGAAATAGAATTTTTATTTTTATTTTTATTTTTTTTTTAAAAAAAGAAAGGAAGTTTAGAAATAAACAAAAATGACCTGGAAACAGTGCTTATTATAATGATTCTGTAACATAATTTTAAAATGTAACAATTATAGATATATTTTTTCTAAATCTTTTTTTTTCCTTTGCAATTCGTGGGACATTTCTTTTTAAGTTGTTTAGTGCCTTTTTTCCCATGTTTTTGAAAGAAATTGCACCAATTTGCTCAAGATTCAAAGGTTTGAATACTTGTGAAAGGCATCTGAATGCAGCACAAGGAAAGTGATGTTGCTCCAGGTTTCAAAGGGTTAAATAAAAATAAGAACGTCAAAAAATTACGGGTTGAGTGCGATACAATACACTTCCGTTTAATTACACGTTATATTAATGTACAAACTTTGACAGTAATTAACAAGAAAAAAAAATGTTGACAGATTTGGACGTTGCAGAGAGTCACTTATTGTATAACCCCAGGTACTTCCAACATGTAGGTTAAATCTGTCCTCTCTAGATAACACATGAAGGGACCCCAGATGTTGTGAAAGAGTGATTGATCACCTCTGATAGCGTGTGTAATTTTTCCCAAGGGCAGAGTTAGATAGTTCAGAAATCCATCTACCCATACTCTGACTCCGACTTCCTTCCATGAAGGAGCAATAACTCTTTTGCCAGTAACAGGTCCATTTCTAAAATAAAAAAGGTTTTCTCCTTGTAATGTTGTGATTGGCTGGCAAATATAAAAAGCTCTGGGTCTGGAGATATTTGTACGGATAATATATCCTGGATACTCTCTCACTCTTTCCCAGATTTTTTTTTATTTGAGCACACTGCCAAAAACTGAAAGAGTGTAGCTTTTTTCTCTCCACATTTGACACATAAATCAGGTGTACTGTCGTATTTACTGAGATTTTCTGGGGTTATATAGGTTTGCATCCGCTGCAGTTATACGGTAGTATTTTAAGACATGTAAGAAAAACACCTGTGTCTTTAAGCATCTTTTATTTGTCTGTTTAATTGTATTCCACCTATCCTTTTGATGCAAAAACTTTTCAACAATTCCCTTTGTGGATACCAAACAGAAACGGCAAAGAACGACACGTGTCTCTCTCTCTCTCCAAGCAGCACACGTGTTTATTGTTCAATGTCAGAGATAAGTTGTGCCTTTCGACCTTCTTTCGAGTGCTGCCTTTGTGCCAAACTTCACATGGAGCTTTGAACACAAGGACATATTGTCAATAGCTTTGCACAGCCGCCTGGATGAACGCATGAGGTGGCGGAACTTCTGATTGTTGGTTGAAGGGATTGTTGAAGTTGCTCGATACTCATTTGGTTTGGGGATTTGGAAGGGTTTCTCTATTGATTTGCTCATTTTTGCGCGAGGCACAGCCAGAGCTGGATCTCAGGGCAGGTCCTGATGAATCTCCTGACGGATGTCTCAGCTGGCCCTGTGAAAGGCCAGGGAGAATCATATCCAGGTTGTCAGAGCTCCTGATGTGATTGCAAGCCACTGTGACCTTTCCATTTCTTTTGGAAGTTTAATCTCTACATTGAGAATCAATACTGCATGCCTTCGCCAGCCTTTATCTTTATGTTGGAGATTATTTCTTGGTAAAGAAGCTAAATTTTGCTCACAGATCACTGTTAATTATTGCACCCTGAAAGTTCAAATGGTGAAATTGTTTTCATCTCAGAAATCATCCTAATCTGCAGTGTGACGATTTTGGCCAAATGCAAACTCATTCATCACAAATGTCAAGCAATAGCAGCGAGACTGGGCTCAGACAATTACAGCAATCATGGACGGAGCTCCTTTATTTGACCTTTTGTTGTTATCCGTCTTCCCACACGCAGATTTCACCACTGTAGGAAACAAACAGTTTCTTATTGTACTTTTGATTCATTGTTGTTACAAATACAGGCCACACTCACGTGGGGGGAGGGGGGCAGTGCTTGTTCAAGACAGCTGAAGTGCTGAAGTAAACATTATCAATATCAGTTTAAGATATTTCAATCAGGAGAGACTCGTTCTGAGAGAAAATAATATTTATTTACATGTGCACATAAGCATGAGAAATGTGAAAAGTCTTTGGCGATGAGACCCCATGGAAATGTCATATATTCCAGGAGGGTGGTAAAGACATAGCAGAGAGGGAACACACCCTATGGAGTCTAGACACTGGTGATGGTGATGAGATGAGATGAAGAGGGAGCTGAGGATCTGGATGTGAAGAGGAGTGGGCTTCTGATGAGCTTTGGCTCTGGATAAGGTGACTGGAGGTGAATGCGACGATTCCACCTGAAATGACGGCTGACAGGAGCAGAGAGGAGAACAGATTTAAAGTTTGGCAGCAGCAACGTGATTGGCTGAAGGAGATTGTGGCAAAGTAGGGTACATTTGAACTCAGCTGAGTGGTGGAAGTGGGATGGAGAGATAATTGTGAATGGATGTAGCATTAAAGAAAGTCTCCCTGATTGAACTTCCGCTGAGCTTCATTTGTCATCGTTTTACTTCTCTGTCAGACAGCTCTTTCAGATGATGAACTGAAGCCGACTATGCTCTCCTCAAAGCCTTCAGATTTCTTTGACAAACCGTAATTTTACCTTACCTTACCCCACTCTTCCCTAGGCTGTTATCTATAAAAGTCCCTCTTACATCCTCTACGAGCTAATGCTTTTTACAGTGGCACACTGAGATCTCAAGTTATTGCATCCCAGGGAAACACCTACAAATAGACAAAACATCACCAATTTCACAACACATGCAGCGTGATAAAACTGGGTAAAGAACACAATATTTCGAGTTGACAGTGGCTGAAAGCAAAATCATTTCAGCCTCGGCGGTGGTATCAAAAAAGAGGAGCAGCTTCAGTAGTGTGGAATAAACTGTGGCGTCCTGAATGTTTTATGAACAGCCCTGGACTTCTCAGACTCTTTTAGTGACTTACTGCTCTGAGGGAACTCATTCAGCGGCTCCTCTGGCAGCAGCACAGCGTCTCTCCCTCTCCTCTCTCACCGTGCGCACATAAGATTCTGTGTTGTTAGGTGAGTTTGTCATAAACCTTTGGTAATGTAAACCTATGTGACGCTCACAGCTCGGCAAAAAACTCTGTATATGTGAATGTGTGATAGTTGTGGTGTCATAGCAGCCTGTCACAGGTTACAGCGTGATGATTAGAGGAGAAATGGCAGAGCATAAAGGTCCAGGTGGAAAAAAAAAGAACAACTCAATCATTTAGGATTTTACTAAAAGAAGGAAATCACCTGTTGATTTATATATATAGATCCCAGGGTACATGTTTGTATTTGGGAGCTGTTTAAATGTGTCATTTCTGGTAGATTTTATTTTGTTGAACTATTAATATTGTATACAGAACCTGAATCTCACTCTGAGTTACTGTTGTTGTTCACACACTAAAGAAATGAGAGATCACTTTAGGTTTTACTGAATATTTGTAGGTGTTGTTGACATGTAAAACTCACTTATTTTGTTGCAATTCTATGCTCTTAAATTAATAATACAAATTTTTTGCAAAAAGACCCTGAAATATTGTGATATATATTGCCCACCCCTAGTTGCAGCGCGCTGAGCTGTCATGGCTGTAGTCACTTTGTGCTGTTTGAATGTGCACGCAGGTTTTAAAAAGTTGTTTGTGCATTAGCTGTATCCTGAGATAATTGCACAGTTTAATCAGAAACAATTGGGAAAGTGACAGATTTGAAAGACCATATCTTTAAAGGAATTATTAAAAAAGAAAAAGGGAAATGCCCTTATTCACTTGCCAAGAGATGAGAGGACCATTATCACTGTAGAAGGAGGTGGTGGAATTGATCTTCTCATCTAAGGGTGCTTTCACACCTGCCCTGTTTGTTTCGATCTGATCTGCTGTATCTGAGGAGGTGACGTGTGTTGTCACACAGAGAGAGAACATCACCCATCGATATTGATGACATCTGTTTGTACTTGAACTCCAGTGGAACAGCAGGCAATTTAGTCAGACAAATACTATATAGGAGAGCACGAAATGTTTTTACGAGGATCCTCAGTTTGGCTGTTTTCATTTTATTGTTAACCCCCCCCCCCCCACCCACACCACCCATCCTTTTACATCCTCTATGAGCTGATGCTGCTTATTACAGAAGCACACTGAGAACGTTTTTACTATATATTCGAGTTGGAAAACAGGATTGTTTTCACCCAAAATCTCTGCTTGTTTCTCAGAAAACATTGCATGAATAAATGAATAGCAAACAACAGCATGTACACCCTCTTTGCTTTTCTAGAATGTGTGCAGCACTCTGTGGTGCACTGTGGGAACAACCTGCCACTCAAAGCTGGACGGGGCTGTGGATGGGACGAACTGTGGGGAGGACAAGGTGAGACTTCCATTTCACAAACATGAAATGAACAAGACATGGAGACTGTGATGAGAATACAGTCAGTGTTTGATTTCTAAAGGCAAAGGCGGTGGCGGAAGAACTACTCAGAACTTTTGTTGTAGTTCAAGGAGCAGTACCACAGTCTAATAATACTTACAAAGTTTTAAATCATTGGGTTGTAATTATTGATGCATTAATGTCTTTATTTCATTCTGCATTAATATACTGCCAAGTAAGAACAACAAACAGCATGTGTTCATTTATTTAATGATGTGATTTATGCTGGTTTTTATCAGTGGTGTTTCAGTGGGGAGTGTGTAGCAGTTGGATATCAGCCAGAGGGTGTAAATGGTGGCTGGGCTTCGTGGAGCGAGTGGTCAGCCTGTTCGAGGACGTGTGGGGCTGGAGTCCAGAGCGCGCAGAGAGACTGTGATAACCCGGTGTAAGTTTGACTTTTCAGCCAAAAATAATGCAAAATGTTTTTTGTTTTTAGCTATTGTTTTGCAATTTAATTCATATTGTAATCTGGGAAGAATAAAGCACAATAAAGAGTTAAAAAACCAATCCAAATTAACAGAACGCTACATCTCAGTTGTAGAGCTGTAGATGAAAGGCTGGTTAACTTTAGGTAGAAGACACATTTTCAGTCGGTAGATTGTGATGTAGTCTCTTTGTGTGAACATGGAGCAGGCAGCAACGGGCTGTAACTTAATTCATATCTTTCCTCTACCTCAAGTCTGCCAGTGAGAGACACTAGAAGCCCAAACTATAAGGTTAATTGCCTGGTGAGACCATCCTGATGACGTGAGCTCAACATTCTGTTTCACTCTCTATCAGTCTGGCCCTGCTGCCGCTCCAAACGCTTTCAGTGGGAGGGAGTACTCGCCTTGAAAGACAAACTCCTTCAGCCAATTAGTGTAACAGAACACCAGGGAACATCTTCATCACTGGTTGAAAGCATTTCATCATTAAACATTACAGCATGGTACGGCAACCTGAGTGCAAGGTGCAAAAATAAGCTCTCCAAGATTGGCAGCATTGTCGGGAAAGTGATTGGCAAGTCAAATGAGTCATCTCAGCAATATATTTGACAATGCTGTACGCAGGAAGGCTAAACATGTAACTGGAGATGCCTCACATCCGTCACAATCAGATTTTGAGCTGCTCCCGTCTAGGCGTCAATTTAGGGTCCCTTGAACCAGTCGGAACATATATAAGAAGTCCTATATTCCCTGTGCCATACAGGCAATTGTGTAATATTTTGTTATTGACTCTATTTCTGCAGTAACTTCACTTATTGCTGTGTTTACTCTACTAATGTTAAAGCTAACCCGTGTTGCTATGGGAACTGCCATTATTGTTCTACAAGGTGCAGCCTGCATTTTACGTCATCAACTACAATGCAGTCCCCGATTGGCTCCAATTGGATTTTAATTTCTGAAAAGTTTTTGAGGTTGCATCAAGTCTTATAAACAAAAAGAAATCACAGATAGAGTTCACAGAATTAGTGGATATGTTTGCAAAATATGTTTTGGGTTGTTTGTAAATTAGAAATTAAATACATATAAAGGCCCTGACACACCAAGTTGACGGTTGTCTGTTGGTCATTGTTGCCGTTGTTGGGCGTCAGTCGCCCTAGTTTTTGTGGTGTGTCCCTCACTAGTGGCATTCGTCGGCTGTTGTTGGCTTTTTAAGGCCAATTCAGCATGTGAAATCAATGGAGCCCACTGGTAAGAGAATAAATAAATTGATAAAAAATGTTTTGCTCATTCAACATTGGTTGTGTTGTCGGGATGCTAACTGGCTAAAGAGTGTCTTGAGTCTGTCCTGTTGGTCTTCCAGTTTCCCTTTTTGCATGACGAATACAGAGTACCACCGCCTGCTGGTATGAAGAGCTATTTCCTCTCACGCAGGCGCAGCATATACGTGCTCACTGGCTGTGGGCTGTAGTCTTTGCAGTGTGTTCAGGTGCAACTTTTTGGCTAAGACACAAGCAACGTGAGGCGACGCAACAGTCAGCCTTCGTCGATGCTTAGATATCAGTTTGGTGTGTCTGGGTCTTAACGCATCTCCTCTTTCCTCCACCATTTCACACAATATCACATAATTGTAAACATAAAAGTTAAGGAGCAGCAGTGAAATAACATCTTCGACTATCCAACAGTCCAAAGTACAGAGGGAAGTATTGTCTGGGAGAGAGGCGGCGGTACAAGATTTGCAACACTGCACCATGTCCTGATGACCTGCCCTCCTTCAGAGACATCCAGTGTAGTCACTTCAACAGCTTGCCGTACAAGGGCAAGTTCTACAAGTGGGAGGCAGTCATCAACAGAAGTGAGCAGAATAAACCTGATCACAGTTATTTAGGCAAACTTTAAAGAAGAGCACCTTTGGGTTGTTGTTGTGTGTGTTCATCTTTATCACAACTTTGTGTATATTTTCTGTTGGATCTCTCTTTTCAGTGAACCCTTGTGAGCTGCACTGCCGTCCACTGAATGAACATTTTTCTGATAAGATGCGTGACGCCGTCACTGATGGGACGCCGTGCTACCAAGGCAACAAAAGCAGAGATTTGTGCATCAATGGCATCTGTAAGGTATCAACACTGTACCTACTAATTAATATGCATCCTTGTCTTTTCTTGAGTGTTTGATCTGTTTTGTCTCTTGATTTCAAAACAACATTCATTGACTATTCTGTTCTGTAAATTAAATTCCAGGCATTGCTGCTCTGTTAGTCATGCAGTACATTTAGTTGACCCTCGCTTTGTTTTCTCTGCAGACGAGTGTTGTACATTTGACATTCTGCATGAAAATGAGCTCGCTGATAGAAAAACATCAGGGTGTGTTATCTCTCTGCTGTTGCCTATCACCCCGGGCCAAAATGCCAGTCACTGATACAGAAGTTGTTTGGATACCAAGTGGACAGCAATCACAGACGCCGGGTCTCTGATGTCATGACATTTGGTGACATTTTTGTCCGGAAGCCACATGTTGTCAGACTTACCTCGAAACAGTATTGTGTTTGAAGGGTTGCTGTAATGTTAAAGGCCAGATCAGTATTTCATCATTTCTCGGTTGATAATCCATAAAAATATAGATAAATATTTGAGAAAATAAGAATAGGCACGGTGGTGCAGTGATTAGTGTTGTCACCTCATAGTAAGAGGGTTCCTGGTTCGAATCCAGGGTGGGGGGTTTAACCCTTGCATGCAGAGTTTGCATGTTCTCCCTGTGTCAGCGTGGATTTTCTCCAGGTACTCCAGCTTCCTCCCACAGTCCAAAGACATGCAGGTTAATTGGTGACTCTAAATTGTCCATAGGTGTGAATGTGAGTGTGAATGGTTGTCTGTTTCTATGTATCAACCCTGCGATAGTCTGGTGACCTGTCCAGGGTGTACCCCGCCTCTCGCCCAGTTTTAGCTGGAATAGGCTCCAGCCCCCCATGACCCCTAACAGGATAAGCAGTTATGGAAAAATGAAATGAAAATGACAAATGATAGTGTAATTTTTGTCTCGTCTTAGTCCTGACAATCATTTTCAGAGTGTTCCCATCCTATATTCTGAATTATGGTCTTATGGGACTAACCTTTTGTGTATTTGGATTACATATTGCACCTTTAACCACATGGGAGCAGCAGCACAGTATGGGGTGTGACAATAATGCTAAAGCAGCACAGAACAATTTCAAGGATTACTGGGATTTTCACTTCCATCACCTGCCTCATCTAAACAAGCGCAACTGTAATCGCTTCTTTCAAGCAGAAGCAACTATAATTTTAATGGCTTCATTGATTATTTCAGGAGCCAGAAGTTTAGTTTCATAGGTTTATAACCGCAGGTTTTAGTTTTGCTGCTTAAAAGTTTCACGATATTTGCTGCGGTGACATTCACTGCTCTTATTGCATCATAATACCAAAAACCACTTGCTTCTCCAGTTTGCTTAATCTGCCATGTAAATAGCAGTAATTATGGGACTGAATACAACCCTGTTGCCCTAGTGCCTTCATTTGCACCCAGATTATGTGTCGTTAAACTAAATTGGCAAAAGTGGAGTTGGACTTGCCTCATGCACTTTAGACCACACACTGTAGATCGTTTATTTGGGGCCCTTCACATGTTTGAAAAACCGGAAAATTTGTTCTTGATCTAAAGAGATTCTCTTTGTCTTTCTCCAATGTCTATCTAATGTGCCTCTGTTGTGTAACCACTGTCAGGTTCATTCCAGATAATGCATTTCTGTTGCATCATCTGTGTTGCAGAGTATCGGCTGTGACTATGTGATTGACTCCAGTGCCACAGAGGATCGCTGTGGGGTGTGTCATGGTAACGGCTCCACCTGCACAACTGTGAGGAGAACATTTGAGGAGACTGAAGGACTTGGTATGTTTCTTAATAACTGTGGTTTAGCCTTAGGCCTCTTCACGGCAGATATTTTGACATGGATGACAATTTGAAACAAAACCTCGCTCCCTTTTCCCTTTGGTATAGCACAAAGTTCTCCACTGTAGCTCCTCCATTTTCTCAACGATGTGTTAACTGTGTATCAGGATACCTTGTCTTTCTCTTTCACTTACTGAACATGTGATGTCCTTCAGGCTACGTAGACATCGGATTGATCCCAGAAGGAGCCTGGGACATCCGCATTGAGGAGGTGGCTGAAGCTGGGAATTTCTTGGCGTTACGAAGTGACAACCCCAACAAATATTTTCTGAATGGTGGCTGGACGATCCAGTGGAACGGAGAGTACAAGGCAGCCGGGACAGTATTCACCTACGAGAGGACAGGACAGCTGGAGAACCTCACGTCTCCTGGACCCACCATGGAGCCACTGTGGATTCAGGTAGGATCAACAGCTTAAAGGAATAGTTCACCCAAAAGAAGAAGGGAAAGATATCTGTCGTCTGTGATTGGTTTGTAGCGTGACTCCTGTCTGATTGCTGAGTGTGGCCACTTCCTGTGTCTGTCCTTTCAAATTAAATACCCACATGGTCCAGTCATATAGGTTTTGATTTATTTTGACAAGACGCAGCTCCTAATAGAGTTTCACATTTTTTCTGCGACTAAGTGAACAATAAAATCTTGCTGAATAATGACCTTTCTGGTCGACTAATGTTTGGTCGACATTGTTTGTTGTTGTGTTTGGTTTCCTGTTTAGTATTACCCAAGTGTCTTGTATCCAGTCATGGACTCATGGAAATCCAATCACAACTATTTACGCTTAACTGCTGCTAAACAAGGTATTTTTGGATTATCCTCGCAGGATTTGAATTTGGTTCTATTAATGATATGCTTTCACTCTTTACAGGAACTCTACTCTCCTTAATGCTATTCAATAGATCGGACCATAGAGAAGCTACAGAAGTTAGCACTATATACAATTTATGTTGTTTATAGGTGAACCATTCCTTTAAAGATATAAACTGTGTTGCTCAAATGGAGGAAATCATATATATTCATAATGAAAAAAGTGTGAGTGCCGATGTGCGTGAACCTTTCTGGGAATGCAGGATCTGCTTTACGATGTTCACTTGCATTCAGTCACATCAGACATAGATCTTATTATGGTTCCCGGTTGGTGGTTTCCTCCCTCCAACAAGTTAAAGGGTTTTTTTTGGGGAGCGTTTCCTTATCTGCTGTGAGCATCCAAGGACAGCGGGATGTCGTTTGCTGTAAAGTCCTCTGAGGCAAACTTTGATTTGTGATATTAGGCTTTCTAAATAAAATTGAATTGATTTGATGTCCTTGGAGCTGGCAGAGTGTGGCTTTCAGTGCTGAACATTGCCAATGTGTGAAAAATAAGCTGTCTGAAATGAAGCCATCCCTTTTTAATCCTTTCTTTGTGGTTTGTCAGATGTGGCGGAAACACAAAGAAGACATATGTAAAAAAGAGTTTTATTTTGTGATTTAGTTCCTAGGAATATTTTTCAATAAGTTTTCCACATGTGGTCCAGAATGTGTTAGCCATTGTCTTGTGTGTTACAGCTTCTTTTTCAGGAGACAAATCCAGGAGTGCGGTACGAGTACACAATCAGTCGAGACACCAGGGAGGATAACGACATCCCTGCGTCAGTTTTCTTCTGGAAATATGGTTCATGGACTGAATGCAGTGTTACCTGTGGAACAGGTAGGAAATAATGATGGTTTTGACCAGTGGTGTAAGGTAGTTACAATGGGCCCCAGTGCACGCTATCATGCACATACCGTCTCGTCACGTGATCAGAGACTTGACAGTGAATAACATCACCATACATATTACCAAGAGACCATCACTGCATATATGTATATAACAAAAAATACTAAAGAAAATAAGAAAGTATTAACTTAACAATTTTAATAGTTGATTTATAGTGATAGAATAAACATGTAATTTTTTCATCGATGCTATTGACTGTTTTACCAAAAAAGAAAAAATAAACATTGAACTTTTACTTCATTCTACTTAACATAGACCTGTTGTCCTCATCCGTGGACACTTTTTGTGCCATCTAGTGGTAGCAAAAGCACAATACACTACTCCATGTAAAAACAAGATGGCAGCCATCTCTGCCAAGTCAGTCTGCAGCCGATCCCGACGCAAAAGTGGACAAGGTCCAAAACCTGATCACATTTTATGGTTGAAACTTGTTTATTTATGATTAATAATGTTTGTAGTTTGATATGGCAACAAATTTGACCCATTTTAGCAACAGTAACAAGATAAGATTAATTAGGAAGTACTCGTTTGAAGACATTGGGACTTAACTATCGTTGACAATGTTTGTTTTTTTTATACTTATCGGGTCTTATTGATTCCAAATAGCTAAAAGTTAAAAATGCATACCATAAAAAGTTCAGGCACAGTAGGATAGAGTAAATGTTCATAATGGAATATGAATTCTTCTTTGAACACAGGCATATTTTTCAAGGTGACAGTCACTCATAAGGGCCCATTCTCCACTCATAACATTGTTGGAGGCCCCACTCTCAGGCGCACTGTCTGCACTGTCTGTGTTTACGTCCCTGGTTTTGACATTGAGAAGTTGGTAGGTAGACTGAGAGAAAGAGACTGGAAAATCTTTCCCTCTTAGTTTTGAATGCACGTCCTCAAGTCCTCAGAAACAGACTTGGACTGTATTCCAGCTGTGTCCTGAGTTGATACTTTGATTGCTAAGCTTTATTTAAACACATGGGAGCCTTTTTTATGGCAGCTGACACAAACACAGGCAGTAATGTGATGTATCGGTACTATATTTTCCTGGCCTTGAAGTTTATTTGGCATTCTTGTGCCGTGTGCTGTCAACCCAAGATTTACTCTCCTTTGGCGTTTTACCGCCGTGCAAAATGTGCCTCGCCCTATATTTGTGTTTTTTTCAGGTCTTTGTTTCTTGGATGCTGCTTACGCTCCGGTAACTGGTTGCTACCTTTTTATAAAGCCCTGAACTTACCTGAATGCTGTGGGTGTACACACCACAGAACATCCTGAACACAGAGAATAAGAAGACAGTACAGGCAGTGGGCAGAGTCTCTGCAGAAGAAACACACCGCCACACACTTTTAGAAGGTCGTAAGTGGGAGGGATTACTTTTGTTTAGGTTTATACATATTTTATTTTTAGGAGAGTCCCGCATAGTATATCTTTAAGCAGTAGGTCCAACCATGGTTGGCAAAGTTGAGCAAGTCTGTTGTGGGTTTTTTGTCATCATGAGTTCTCATATCAAGGTTGGGTCTGAGTGCTTGAGATAGAGGTTTTTATTCACACAGGTTTGTACCTTTTTAATGCACCTGCTCATGACGAAAGAAATGACGTGTCAGCGATTAAAGATTAAAGTAGATCCACTAGTGAACACTATTCTTTCTGCATTCTTTGAGACTAGCGTTGCTTAAACAAAGAATTTAGCATTGAGCTTTCAGAGACATTTTCAAAGACACTTCAAGGTTGAAACAAGCGTTGAATTTGAATCATGTCAACACGTGTAAAAGTATCAAGTCACACGTCGGACTGGAGACTTTAATGTTCACTTTGCTGACCTGAAACTAATGCAGACATCACTTTGAAACTAACCAGCTAAGTGACATATTTTGTACCCACTCTTTACTTTCGAAATATAATCTGTCAAGACTGATGTGCTATTATTTGAAAAGTGACATAGTGAATAGATACTACAGTACATATAATCTTCTAGCATGTAATCTGTGATGTCTTTTAAGAAAGAAAAGATTTTCTGAATTTATTTTAAACAGATATGCAGTCACTGTGTGTGGATGAGGGGATTTAACCTCATTATAACTGCTGCATAGGTAAAATTGGGATTCCCTAAAATAACTGTAATCAAGAGATCACACTATTTGGCTTTACTTAATTTCTTTTTTCCCCTGTTATTGGTGTTTTCTTTTCAGTCGCTGCGTTTGAATTAGCTTAAACATGTTTAATGTGTACAGATGGAATCACAAAAGCTAACGTTACGGGTATTAATTTATACTAATTTATTTATCTAATTAAAAATAACATTAAGCAAACACAAATTTAGTGCAGACTTTTCTGGATAGTCAAAGACGCTTTACAAAGTACAAGAACAAATCAATTCAAAGATGAAATAATCATCAACAAGCGAAAGCGTTTTAAGAGGTTGTAGGCAGTTTACGTATTTTTGTGATTCGCATGGCAGAGAAGTATGTTAGAGTGGTGCAGGACATGTATGAGAGCTGCAGGACAGTGGTGAGGTGGGCTGTAGGTGTGACAGAGGAGTTTAAGGTGGAAGTGGGAGTGCATCAAGGATCAGCTCTGAGCCCCTTCTTGTTTGCTTGGTTGACGGATGAGGTTAGACGGGAATCTCCATGGACTATGATGTTTGTAGATGACATTGTGATCTGTAGTGAGAGCAGGGAGCAGGTGGAGGAAAATCTAGAGAGGTGGAGGTATGCCCTGGAAAGGAGAGGAATGAAGTTAATTAGTTAGTCGTAGCAAGACAGAATACGTGTGTGTGAATGAGGAGGACCCAAGTGGAACAGTGAGGTTACAGGAAGTAGAAATAAAGAAGATGGAGGATTTTAAGTGCCTGCATGCAGGTTGGAACGGGTGAAGAAGTGTCAGGTGTGATGTGTGCTAGAAGAGTACCAGCAAGATTAAAAGGAAAGGTGTACAAGACTTGGTTTAGAGACAGTGGCACTGAGGAAAAGACAGGAGGCAGAGCTGGAGGTAGCAGAGATGAAGGTGTTGAGGTTCTCTTTGGGAGTGACGAGGATGGATAGGATCAAGAATGAGTACATCAGAGGGACAGCTCATGTTAGATGCTTTGGAGAGAAAGTCAGAGAGGCCAGACTGAGATGGTTTGGACATGTTCAGAGGAGGGATTGTGAATATATCGGTAGGAGGATGCTGAGGTTGGGCAAGAGGCCTAGAGGAAGACCAAAGAGGAGATTTATGGATGTAGTGAAAGAGGACGTGAAGTCAGTTGGTGTGAGAGAAGAGGATGCAGAGTATAGGGTTAGATGGAGGCAGATGATTCGCTGTGGCGACAGCCAGAAGAAGAGGAAGAAGGCAGTTTAATTATTTTTAATAATATTTTTTAATTATTACTTTAACCCAGTTCATCAGGTTTCAGAGACCTAGCTTGTCTGAAGTTCACCTCTAGCTCCTTGTTGCCATCGCCTCTCCATCCCCCACTTTTACCTTATTTTGCATTTTTACTCTCTTTCTCTACCTCTCTGTGCAGAAGCAGTATAGACCTTGATGTTTCGTCTTCTGTATTTACTCAGTTGTTCAGATTCTTTCTGCCTGCCATGGTGAAAAACATCTGTGCACGTAGGGGGAAATTGTTTTTATGATTGGGCTGTCTTGTCTTGTAGGTTTTTAAAAAATGAATGTAATTAAGTTAAGGTCTGTTCAGGGTGTTTTTGGAGCCCCGAGAGCTGGATGCAGGTTTGTTTTCACAGCAGTGTTGGGGAGTTGTTTGTGGAAACGGGGGCAGTGCAGCAGCAGCACTGGCAGAATGAGAGATACCTGTTTAAATAGATCTTGAAAAACCCTAAAATGGACCTGCCTTTTTGGCTCTATTGCTGTGAGCACAGTATATTGTATTAGTGTAGAAGTGCAACTCAAGCAGAATATAAATTTTGAACCTCACCTGTAACAACACTGGCTTTAATATTCATCTTTACTGCTGCTGTAGAGTGATGTTTCTCACGAGGGTATGTGTACCCCTAGGGGTACTTTCGAGTATTACAGGGGGTATGTGAGATTTTAATTATATCACTAAATTGTAAGTGCAACTCGTCAACAAGTGCTGTATTAGTGTCATTGAATGACAAAAAATTGGTTTGCCATTAATTAAGTGATGGATTCTGAACATATTTGGCTGAGAAAATATTTCAAAAACTTTTAGAGGCACTGCTGTAGAGGAAATAGTTGGACTTCTTTCTACCGTATGTGACGTTTAAATTTGCACTTCTCATTCCTGGTCGTGGCAAGCTGCTTTACAAGTAAGTAAAGTATATATGTAAATGTATTCTTCAAAAACTTACTCCACTCTCCGACTTAATTTTGATTCAGCACATCAGCAGACAATACTAATACTGTCTCCATGCACCAGCAACAGGGTTGTACCCACATTCCAAATGCATTGGCCCAAATTACGTTATTAGTTCAAGTGGCTGTTGAATATAGGCAGGAAATCCATATCAGCAGCACGTAGAGCGTTTTCCTGCCCATATTTCTTTTTTCTTTCTGTCTCCAGCTGGCTTTGAATCTTATGTCTCTGTAGGTGTAAATTAGGTTCTGGGCAGGGGGCACTTAGAGGTGAGAGGTCTCTCCTGCTCTGATGGGGTGGAAATCAACTCAAGAGGGTGAGAGTGATGACAGAGAGAGATGTCACAGAGGAGATAAGCCTGTCACAGCTTTAGGAGACATGTCCTTTTATGTAATGCTGTGTGAAACCTGGATGTGACACTTTCCAGTGTGGTCAGTACTGAAATGTATTTCCATTTTAGCCACCTAGAAAAGGCTCTCTCTAAGCGTACAATCACCACTTTAGTTTGCTGTCAGAGCGATTCAGAGCAGCCAAACTTTCCCCTTAATCAACCGCTGGTGATGTCAGTACCAGGCGCCTTTATTGTTATTACAACATCCACGTGTTTGTCTTAGTCACAAAAGCTCCTCTCTCCTCTCTCTGGTATTCCAGGTGTTCAGAGGCAGATTGTTCACTGTGTGGAGAAGACAACTGGGATAGTGGAGGAGCACCTCTGTGACCCTTTAACCCGACCTGATGATAACCAAACCAGCTGTGACAAGGATCCATGTCCAGCCATGTGAGTTCACCCTCCAGACATCGTTTACAAAATGAGCCCAGCAGCATTCACAGACACACACTCGGAGATGAAGACACATTTTTCAATCCTTGCAGAAGCAATGGTCAATATTCTGATTGTTATTTTTCTGAGCTATTATTTTGAAAGTAGGTCACTAAGGCATCTTTTTGAGGTACTAAGTTTGGAATGCCGGGTTTAGATTCTGTCTTATTTTGTTATCAATATCTATTTTTAAATTGTCGTTTTGTCATGGGAAAAAGGTCTTTCACAAAAAACTTTCATGATAGTTTTTGTCAACCTTGTGTAACATCTTGGCCAATGGACAACTGATGAAAAATAGCCTTTTGGCTTATTCTGGCAGTGTTTTTTTTTAATTTGCACGGTCCCTTCTTAAATAAACTTAGCTAAACTAAACTAACAAAATTAACACTGGTTTCCAGATACTCAATTTGCAATCCTAAGTCACTGTTTTAAGATAATGAGTCATTATTTTAGGTTGCTAAGTCATCTTTTTGAGATACTAGGTTTGCAGTGCTGAGTCATTATTTTAAGATAACAAGTTAGGGTAACACTTTACTTAGAGGTATATACATAAGGGTGACATGACACTGTCATGAACTTGTCATAAAGATTATGTACATGTCATAAACATTCATGACTGCTGTCATTAAGTGTCATTCGGTTTTTGTAATGACAAGTTGACATTGTTTGGGTTGTCTTGATTATGACAACTTGACATTAATCAAAGTGACATCACCAGAAGTTGTCTTTGTCATGACAAGTTGACATTAAATTTGTTTGAGATGTCCTTATAATGACAACTTGACATTAACATAAAGACATCTTCTGGTAATGTCATCTTGGTTAAAGTCAAGTCATCATTTTGAGAAACTAAGTTTGCAACAGTAAGTCCTTACGTTGAGATACTCATTATTTTTGCGAGGGTGGTATTTTGCACAAGGTGGAAATGAGCCTCCAGAGCTATGAACCAGCCCCCCCACTGCCACCCTGAAATCAAACTCACCGAACCTTTAAAACACAACCATCTAAATCTGTATGTGAGTCAGCAGCGTCTGCAGAGATGTACAAGTATTGTCATTTTCTCTCAAGTGTTCATCAAATTGGAAATACGTGCACTTGTGTGTGTCTCTGTGTGCAGATGGTGGGTCGGGGAGTGGCAGAAGTGCTCAGCGAGCTGTGGGAGCTCGGGCCAGACGAAAAGGACAGTGCTCTGCATCCAGGCAGTGAGTACAGAGGAGCAGAAAGCACTGCAGCCCAGTGAATGTGAACACATCCCCAAACCTGAGTCACTGTCCTCCTGCAACACACACATCCCCTGCCCAGCAGACTGGACCAGGGGCAACTGGTCAAAGGTGAGTCTGAGTCGGAATATTAAGCTCTAGTTTGTCAGCAAATGCAAGTTGTTCTGCATCTTGTCAGAAATTGTTAAAACCACTTTAACATTTTCTAAACAAGGTTTCTTTCTGAAAGATTATGTTAAAGCATCTTTCAAGACACTCAAGGACACTTTACAAAACCAGATAAGACAGTCAGTACATAATTAAGGTTAACAATAAGCAATAACAAAGAGTAACAACAACAATTATGAAATGCATGTAGTGCATTTCTGCATTTTGGCAGCTTATGGCACAAGATGTTTCCACATCTCAAGCTTTTACAAAATACAAGAGCTGAAGATTTGACTGTCACAGAGACAGAACCACATTGCTGATTCTTTAGAGCCAGCATTGTGCATTACCTCAGATCTTCAGTTGTGTGACCAGGGGTCTCATTTATAAAACATTGCACAGGAACTGTACTGAGTTAAGTGTGGCCAAAAATTGAAAATATATATATATTTTTTTAATGTGATTTATACAACCATGTGTACACCTGCCAGTGTGCAGTTTCCTTTTGTAAATCCCAAATGATCCTGCTGATCAATGATTCAACAACTGAGTGTGAAGGCAGTATTTACATATATGTATACAGTATGTGTACAGCACTCATTGCTCCACACCTTGCCGAAATGATCGCAACAATCAGTGGCATCCCCCACCCTGGAATATCACTTGAAAATGGAAATTTGAGAGTTGATTTATTCAATTTATTTTAATTTATTTCAGTTTTGTTGTGGCAAGCCTGACCTGCGTTATGATCAGGGCTCCTAATGAGGACATAGAGCGTGATGATTGTGTGAGAGCTGATAAAGGCTTTATTTCAAGACTTTGGTAATTTACACAATCCATACACTGTGTGCAGGAGGGGTGAGGATGCGTGTGAGGAGACTGGAGAAGGCAGAGTGTGTGTAGCAGCGACGGCAGTGTCTTCAGTGCACTCTGAGCACTCTGTGACAGCGATTTTACATACAAAAACTATCTGGAAACTAAAGCCGTACTTGGTGATTCATTCACAGCTTTAGAAGATATTATTGAAAACTATTGATGCCCTGGTCTGTAATTACTAAATTACATTCATATGTGTGCATTTCAACAACTGCGGTGCGCTCCACAGCTGACCACAACTCTCACAAGTAGCGCACTATCCAGGCCTCTGCTCTGCACTCTGGGGGTGGAAGTGGCCTCGTTTTGTGTGTACGCAGTGGTTATAAATGAGCCCCCAGAGCTTAAACTACACAGAGCTTCTGATGTTTGTATGTTTTGTCATACTCGTCTCCTTTTTCTACACGTAGACACAACTTGGTTCCTCAAACTAAAACTTAATTTACAGGCGTATTAACATTTTGGTTTTGATGCTAATTAGCAAATGTGAACATGATGAACATGGTAAACAGTGTGGCTGTAGACTCCTTTATATCTGTTTGAATCCTGGTTATTTGGCTCTGATTGTGACCCTGAGGAGTCCATTGGCTCAACGTAACTAAAGATGATCCGGTTTCTTCCTTCAAGGCTTTTAGGATTTAGGTTGATATGCACAAAGAGCTTAGGCTGCCAGAATCACAATTAAATTTACTCAATGCATTTGATAAAACAGCTATCACTGAATTTTAATACCTGGTTCACGCTACACGATATCAGCCTGATTATAGACCGACGCAGCAACATACAGTGTTGGCATGTATCATGAAAGACAGTGAGTGTCGTGCGCGATAATCCATCATTTCATCTCGTGTAGTGTGTCATCGTAGACGACAACCAACACCATGTTACAACAAAAATTCGAGTATGTTTGATTTTCTTTTTGTCCATCACGACTGCTCCCGTCACAGCCGTCACTTTGATCAAGAGAAACACAGAGCGATCTGCTGCCGTAGACAACTGTACACCAACAAGCCCAGCCTTTCTGATATTTCCTCTAGGGACATTACCACAACAGAGTAAAAAGGGAAAAATGATGGTGTGAAACAGCAGAGGCACTTTTTCAATCCGCTGAGTGCTGCCATTAGTATCGAGCTAGCAAAGAATGTTATTTCTTCATAATGGAGACGGACAAAAAGTAATGAAATTAAAAATCACCACAACTGCAGAGGCTACCAGCTTCATTTGAAACAGACGACATTATAAACAGGCCGTTATTTATTAATCCCTCTGTATTTTTATATTTTTACTTTTTATACTCTCCCGTTTGCCTTGATAAAGTTAATGCATCGCGCCATCATTTCAAACTCAACACTTCCTGTATCTGTTTCAAATTAAAAGCACCTTATAACGTCGGCTGAGAGAATCCCTCCATTTTCTAAAAGGGCTGTTATTGTGAAACATTTGCAGGAAGTTGTTGTGGATGATTCAGTGACTTGTATGTTTGTAGACGGTGTTTCAAATGTAGCTCCTGCCATCTGGTGGTGCTTTTTACGTACTGCAACAACATTTCGGCTGGCACATGAACAGTGACTGAAATAATAGTAAGTAATAAAAATAGGACAAGAATAACCCAGTGACATAACTTAGTTGTGAAAGGCGACTGGGGATGATTGGTGTGGACCATCATGTAGCGTGTCATGTCTGTCGGCCAAGTCACGACACGATTTTATGACTACACAATCGCCTAATGTGACATAGTGACTTTCAGAACAGGCAGAAATGTTGTGTTGTGTGAACCAGGTATAAGTTTGGTCTAATCGTGATCTGATGTGTCTTTTCTTCCACGCAGTGTTCACTGACTTGTGGAGGCGGAGTACGTCGCCGTAACGTGACCTGCTCTAGAAACACAGGGATTGACTGTGACCCTCAGAAGAAGCCCCACGCTGTGACTACCTGCAACACCCAGGACTGTCCACCAGTGGCTGATAACTTCGGAGGTATGGACTGGTCTGGAAGCGGCTGGTCGAGCAAAGAAGTGCTCAATGAAATCAACTCCATACCTGAAGTCAAACCTCCTCCCAAATACAGCACCACCAGAGCCCAGCCAAGAAACAATAATAATAATAATGACCTCAACAACAATGTGGAGGGAGATTTTCACTATCACAATAACATTGAAAATATTGACCCCTCTGCGGAAAACAGCGTTCAAGTTGACGATTTTTATTATGACTATAATTTTATCAACTTCCATGAAGACTTGTCGGAGGACTTTGATGGACAAGATCCAGAATCCAGCGCTCCCCAGGAGACCAAGCCAACAGTCAGTGTGGAAGAAAACACTGACATGGAAACAACAAAGGCTCCTTTAACCATTGATGCTGGTTCAAAGGCCACTTCCTACACTTTGAACACTGAGGAGCCACAGAGCACAGATCTGGACAATAAGAAGGACAACGGAGCAACAAAGGAGCCTATGCAAACAAGTTCTGAAGATTTGGATGACTTCCTGTTTGAGGATTATCTTCTGCCGGTGTCTACCACTCGCTCACCGCCATTGTCTACGACTCAGCGTTCACAAACACATACAGAGACGCATGACGAGGATGTGTGGCGGTCTGAAAACATCAGCACAATGCCTGGTCCGGCTACAGAGGAGCCTACACAAGATGTGAAATGGGAGCAATATGGAGAGGAGGCTGAAAATAACTATGACATTTTCACTGAGGATGTGACTCCAAAAGACGCTGCTCCCACACCCGGACATCAAACCACAATCAGTACTATTGTCGCTGAAACAGTGAGTACTCAGGCAACGGATGAACATGATGATTATGAGTACAGCTACAACAAAAAAAGTACTTCAGGTCCAGATGTAGAGAGTCCTGAACCTTTAGGCTCTCCCACACCAGAAACTGTAGTTCACGTTCAGACTGAAGTTCAACTGGACGAAGGTGCTTCAGAAATACCTCTAACAATCAGTCAGTCAACAACATTTACAACCGCCTTCACATCGGAGGATCTGGATTTGGCTCAGACTAATTTTGATACAGTATATGACACTAGCGAGGGTGATTCATGGGATACAGACCTCAGCACAACCTCACTTCCTGCCTCTGAGACGTCCACTCCTCCTCTGCTAATCTCAGGTAACCAGGAGGCCTCCAAAGACTCCACATCGTTAACTGGAACAGAAATCATACCTCCTCCAAACCTGGAGGGAGCCACTCTGCCTCCCCCAGCTGATTTCCTGCCAGCTACAAAGAAACAGATGCAGACCGAACCCGCCTTCACTGAAAGAACTGGAACAGATGCCACATCCCGCGCTTCACCATCTGATTTCGCTGATTTTGATTACAATGAAATAGTCGTTCCCCCGATGCTGAGGAGAAGCGGCAACACCAATTCTGGTCCTTCGTACCGGCTTCCAACAAACGCAGCAACCCCTCCTCAACACAGCACAACGCCAGAACATCTCATTGAATTTCCAACACCTGCTGTGCCGACCTTGCCAACACATCCGCCTCTTCTGTGGCCGCTTCCAGTGCTGACATCTGCCTCAACTTCAGCTTCCACGCAAGTGACTGCTGCCGCCTACTGGGTCACCGGCAACTGGAGCACTGTGAGTCTGCATCAGTCCACGCATTCTGCTGTTATACTCATACTGTGGGACAAAGCACAGCTGCGTCTCATTATTTGTGTCTCTGTCTGCTTTTATTATGCAGACACAGCGTCTAAGTTTGGCCCCTGCACACATTTTAATTCTGTGGAGACACCATTTGACCTCAAGCTAACGCAGATAATCAAGGCTCAAGACCTTTATCTGTCTCCGAGGGGCATTTGGTTTTGCTGCAGTAGCAATAAAGAATATAACATAGGGGTGGACACACACCATAAAAACCACACATACTGTATATATGCACAGATAATAAAGAACATGTGTATACAGTAAAAAGGTGAGCATAAAGGTGAACATGAGCACAAAAGCTAGAATAATAGTGACGAAAAACAAGGAAGAAACAGGCGTGATGGAGATGGGCTGATGCTTCCTGTACTTTACAGAGTGCAGCAGTGAAATGGCAGAGATTATGCAAGAAAATGTATATCTATTAGTTTTGACTGAAGGTTGTCTGACGCAGGAAGCAGAAGGAAAGACACTTAAATTATAAGTGCAGGGGGTGGGAGCTGTCAGAAATAATGGATTCTGCTTTCTTTAGCAGCTGTTGTACAGCTCAGATTTCAGATTCCATTTCTATTTTCTAATGTCCAATTATGTGAAGAATTTTTATGGCACATTAGACAAACAGTTGCTTCTGCTCAAACCCCCGCTGTGCTGTCCATAATATTTAAGGAATTTGCATTGATTTGCATATCATGTAAGTGCTCAAAGCCTGGTCTGATTTGCATTGTTATCTGTGAGGTTTGTTGTGAATGCTGGAATAGTTTTAACACCTAACCCTGAAATCACAAAGTGGAAGTGGTGTTCTGATGTGTTACTTCATTTGTGGGCAGTGCTCCACCAGCTGTGGTCTGGGTGCCATCTGGAGGACGCTGTCTTGCAGCACTGGCTCAGACTCTGACTGTGATCCAGCTAAGAGGCCTGTGCCAGCCCAGAGGTGTTACCTGCGCCCCTGCGCCATATGGAAAGTCGAAGAGTGGAGTAAGGTGAGAAAACTTAAATACAAACAAAGACAACCAAAATCAATGCTTTAAATGGTCATTCTTAGGTCCGATTTTTTTTTACAAATATTCACCCTAGAAAATATTTGGATTTGGTCAAAAGCCCTATCATGTCTTGGATTTTTGGATTTATTTACTAGCGCAGTGGCTGTAGTGAAAGCAATGTCCGTCAGTCCACTACATTGGTCCAAAATCATATGGATTGCCATGAAATTTGTCACAGACAATCATGGTCCGCAGAAGATAATAACGACTTTGGTGATCTCCTGAGTTTATCTTGTGCCACCATGAAGTTGACATTTATAGCTTTGAGTTAATTGTCCAGATATATAGTGAATGTAGAGTCATTAATTTTGTAACAGACACCCATGTCTCCCTCAAGATGAATTGTAATAACTTTGATGCTTTAGCTTTTCATCCAGCGCCACCTTCAGCTCAAAGTTTCACTTAGTCAAAATGGCATTCAGCTTCAGCTGTACTTACTGTAGTGTTTGGTGGTAATGACCAAATTTCAGCATGCTAGCAGGCTAAACTAAGGATGTGTTCCCATCACCTAGTAGTGAAGTAGGCTGCACAGGGTATAGACTGAAACATAATGTTTATTGCAGTGACTTCTTCATAGAAAATCCTCACTTCACATACATAAAATCAAATGGAGATGAGCAAATGCTACCCCATTTGGTTTTTACCCACCTGAAAAAGACCCATGGTTGCCCCCTCTGGGTTGGAGGAGTGTTAGTACCTCAAGCGAGGGAGTTCAGGTACCTCGGGGTCTTGTTCAGGAGTGAGGGTAGAATGGAGCGTGAGATGAAACGCCAGTTTTATGCAGCATCTGCATTGATGTTGGTGCTGTGCTGGATCATCGTGGAGCTAGAAGGCGAAGCTTTCGATTTACTGGTCCATCTACGTCCCAACCCTCACCTATGGTCATGAGCTCTGGGTAATGACCGAAAGAATGAGATTTTGGATACAAGCGGTTGAAATGACTTTCCTCCGTGGGGTGGCTGGGCTCAGCCTTAGAGATAGGGTAAGGAGTTAGGACATCCTGAGGGAGCTTGGTCAGTTGAGGTGGTTCAAGGATATGGTCAGGATGCCCTTGGGGTGCACATCCAGTTGGTCAGAGGCCCCAGGGCAGACCCAGAAAACGCTGGAGGGATTACATATCTCATCTGGCCTGGGAACGTCTTGGGGTCCTCTAGAAGGAGCTGGAAAGTGTTGCTGTAGAGAGGGACATCTGGGGTGCTTTGCTTGGCCTGCTGCCCCAGTGAGCCAGCCTGGATAAGCAGATGAAAATGGATGGATAGATGGACTTTGTCGTAAATAATAACTACTAATGATATTGATAATAAAAACCTAATAATAACCAAGGTGAAACCATAGTCAACTGCGACACCATATATTTTGTAAATTAATCAAATCACATTTATTCACAATTTACATACATTTCAATAAGAGTACATTTTGTAATGGTATCAGTTTTTGTTTCAATAGATATACAATATTTTATTTCAGTAGTGTTTATGTTACAGGGGGTAACGAACAAATAAAGTGATGTCTGCTTTGATGACGTGGTGTGTTCTGAATGGAGGGAATCTTAACAGAGAGCAGGGAGTATGGAGTACTGTTTATGTACACTGTGTAATGAAACCTAAAACAAAGCATAACTGGTAAACATCAGCATGTTAGCATAATCATTTGATATTAATTTAGCTCAAAGCACCACTGTGCCTACAGTATGTGCAGCCTCACAGAGGCGCTAGCATGGCTGTAGATTTTATTTCAAAACAAACTCTGATGAGATTGTTTGTATAAAAGATAAGATAAGATAAACTATCCCAGACAAATGATGTGGTCAGACAAACAGAAGTACTTTTAGTATAAAAATAGCTCTAAAGGGATTTTCTTGTTATAAATATTAATATCTATTAGCCATTCAGGTCAGATGTTATCTTCTGTAGTCGGTCAGGGGATGTTGGAACTGCTGCTTGGTCTTTTAAACATCCATCCATCACTTCAGTTCATATCAGTGAAGTTTGTAAATGAGTAATTAAACCCATTAAAACCACACAGCAAACCAAGCTGCCTGTGACTCACTACTACAGCTCGTGCTGTCTGAATAACAATCATGCCACATCTTCTCCCAGTGCTCCAAGAATTGTGAAGGCGGCGTTAAATCACGAGAGGTCCAGTGTTTCGACTTGCGGGATCAAAGGCCCCTGCGACCTTTCCACTGCCGGGCCATGTCCTCCAGGCCGCACACCCGGATGACCTGTAACCTTCAGCCATGTCTGGACTGGTACACGTCCTCCTGGGGTCAGGTGAGTCATATAAAGTGAATGATGCAGTGATGTATTTTCTGGTTTTCTGGTAGACAGGAAAGTATTTTCAAATAAAATGGTGATATCTGTCAGAACATTTTAACACCACATCAAAAAGCCAAAAGAAACGAGATGGATTTTGTTCTCTTTATACAGGGTCACCATGGGTCCTTAAAAAGTCTTAAAATCAGATTGAATGGGTCTTAAATGTTTCTTAGTCAAATCACTGATGTAATTTTGTTGTTGGTGCTGTAGGAAACATACCAACAACAGGAGGGAAACACTATTTGACAGGGTACCAGACTTTGACACAATACCTGCACCTATATATGTACCCTATTTTTGCCCCCATCAATGCACTTAGATCACGCATTGAGTCTGCATCGGTAAACTCAGACCTTGCAAGCTATGAAAAATGGGAAAATGCAAGTGTGAGGACAAATAGCTTAAAAGAATAACAGTAATTACTCATAGAAATTAGAGGCCAGTGCCTGGAAATGTTTACATATCAAACGTGGTAAAATGGGGATCTGGGCAGTGGAATCACACATGCAGAAGAAGCTGTAAGCACAGAAAAATATCGTCAGGGTAACTTTTACCGACCATTTTAAACTGACATTAAAGGGCCAGTGTGTAATATTTGGCATGGTTTTTGTCAATCTGAATCTGAATCTGAATATTCTACCCATTAATATGTTTATACAAGTGTATAATCGCTATAAAATAAAATTCGTTTGGTTTTCGTAGCCTTATAATTATGCTTTTATATATATATATATATATATATATATATATATATATATCAAGGGCCTTGCTTTAGAGAGATCGCCATCTTGCGCCACCATGTATGTACGGCAGACCGAGTGGACAATCCAGCCAGCCAGAGAACGCGATTTGCGTGTATAAATGAACCAACGAAGACAGCGGAAGGAAGGAAGAAGGAGGAGGAAACAGCAGAGAGTGTTAGTAGCTCGTCAATAGAGAGTAGTGAAAAGTTTTTTTAGTTATAAAGTTTGCGAATGGACCACACTTAGCACGCAACAGGAGAGAATGAACCCGAACCGTCATCTGCGAGGAAAAGAAGACGCAACTTCACTCCTTGTGTGTTTTCCTCCTGATGATATATCTCCCCAACGATGGTAGCACCGAATCCCATTCTGTGCGTTCAGCTTCTCTTCTCGCCCACTCAGCATCAAACACATGGAGTTCCTCATCTGTATGCTCCGGCTCAAACAGGTATGGCTCTGGGTCTGTGTCCGCTACAAGAAACTCTTCAAAATCACGTTCAAAGTCGTCCATTGCAGCTACTATAGTCCGGAGATATTGCTAGGCTAAATAAACAGCTGAGCTCTGTTTACAGGCTACGCTGTCAGTCAGTGTGCGGGCTGGAGATTGGCGGAGCAGAGAGGGGAGGGGGGTCCCCACTTAGTATGGTAAACGAGTATGTGTGTAAAGTTATGAAGTGTGTCTGTTACGCCAGAAGAGTCAGAGTTTGGGACGGAGTGGAGTGTTACCGGAGTTTCTGGAGTGCTCAAATAAACGCTCCTCTGGTCTCCTGCTCGTGAGGGATTCATTACAATATCGCAACATGGTTTAGATTTCTAAATAAACATTCACCTTGTCGCTAGATAACCTACTCCTGAAAAAGTCGTGCGCAAGGCTTTTTGTCCCTACGAGGCCACCGTCATTTACCCGACGGGAGGGGTGAGCGAGTGAGCCCTGCAATCTAGAATTTGACCGCTGATGTCACTGCAAGTTTGGTCCTAAATTTCATTTAAAGTGGTGTTAAAAAGGTCTTAAGACTCCCTGTTATATTACTGAACACATATTTTTAAAGCATGCTGTACCGTACAGTGTATTTTAATTATTTTTAATACATGTCTTCCTTGTAGCTATTTGCCTTTTATTAGACTTGAAAGTTTTTTGAGGTAATTAGTCACTATCAACATTTATCTTTTATTTAAATCATGTTATTGTAGAGTTGTAATGGTGTGTGGGGGGTCTTCTGGGTTGTTGATGCCTTCAAGTACATGGGAGATTCTGAGATTTAAGCTTGAGCAACTGAGCAGCATTACATTCACAAGCTGTATTGTCAGAACACAGTCAATTATTTGACATACTGTTGTTGATGAGTGTAATATGAATTTGGTGGCATATTGCAGTGTATGGCAGCGGTTGCTGTTGCCTTAGATTTCATAGCTTCTCACATGTATTTGAACTCAGCAACAAGTGGGACATTTCAGAACAATCTGCGCTTTCAACCATGCAACAATCATATAACAACAAAGGGCTATAAATGGTCACAGTCAATGGATTATCACCAAGTCTCTGCTCCTTGATTTTTCTGAAAGTGACAAAAACAAATGGCTCTTCGGGAAGTTCAGAAAATGCATTCAGAATGTCAACAAACTGTTGTCAATGGAGGTGATGAAAAGAATGCACAATTTGCAGCGCAGTGGTGAGTCATGCAAAAATACTGCTATGACCCTGACTGTGCACCGTCTACCGTAAATAACACTCAAAGAAACGTCTTGATGCATACTGTTTCCTCCACTGTTGAAGCTCAGTAGTCGACTCAGTCAAGGCTGTACATGTATGCACCTAAACGCATAGATTTATAGATTGTACGTGTGTGTGTGCATTGTCTTAAAATGTCAGTGCTCTGAGGTGTGTGGGGGAGGTGAGCAGCAGCGTATGGTCACCTGTCCAGAGGAGGATCGATGCGATGTGGACCTTCAGCCCAGCAGCATCCAGTCGTGTAATAGCCAGCCTTGTGCCCAGTGGCTTACTGGATCATGGGGACAGGTACACACACACACACACACACACACACACACTCATAAAACAAAATACAGTTACCCTGCATGATGTATGAGTCACAGACCAATTTAACTTGGTGTGGTATTATTACCAGAAGGAAAACATATCCAAACATCTCGTCATGTTCATGGTCACAGGGAAGCAACCAACAAAATAAAACTGATGAATAAATATTATTTTATTTTATTTTATTTGAATATATATAAAACCCAATACTGGATCAACAATCAGAGATCATTTAATGCTGAATGAAGGGGTAGGTGTGGTTATGGAGGTGACATAATGGCCTAAAATATAGAGTGTGACCTCTGAGGTAGAAAAGACGAAAGATGGAAGAGGAGAAAAGAATCAGGAGGAGTATCACTGCACACTAACACACACTGAAAGACGATAGAGCATCATGATGAGCTCAGTACTGTAGGTTATATATATTTTACATTTGACAGTGACGCTGCTGAAGAGGACAGAGATGTACAAACACTGGTCAAAGGTCTCAAGAGTGACTGGAGAAATAAAGGGAACATATTTGAAGGGTCTGAAATAGCCACAGAAAGAATGTGGGATATAATAATTGGATAAAGCTGGACTCAATTAAGCAACAGGCAATGAATGGATAGACTCCAAGGAAATAGGTGCGTCAGTAAGGAGTGCCATGGTGATGTAGCCTTTCAAGTTGAGTCACATTAATTAACATTCATTATTCGCCTTTTGTGCCTAGGGCTCATATTGAAATCCTACACATTCTGTAGTATTCCTACCTGTGTCACATTGAGTTAGTGGCGATGCTGTTCTAACCATGCACAGATGGAAGTATCTTTCTTAACCCTGGGCAACATTTCTTCAACTCTCAAAATCCACGTCATCACTTATGATCCTTGTGGTTTGCTGCAGGCAGTCATCTCATAAAATCCTGACCCACGCTGGGAATTATGACCATCAACTGAATTTCTGTTCCTCCCTCTTTCTTTTACAAGTGACTGGGGCCATATTCATAAAGCTTCCTTGTACAAAGAGTCGCTCCTAGTCACAAAATTCTGAATAAGTTCTTTGAATTATGTTTTCACAGAATTTCCCCTTAAAGTTAAGTCTAGGCACTTGTAAAGATAAAAGTCATTCACAGAGCATCTTAGCCCTTAAAAGAGCTCCTAAGGTCAAAACTGTTAGGAGCAGGGAGGAGGCCTTTTAAGATGGTAAAGAGTTTATGAAGCAGAGGAGAAAATGGTGGAAACACAAAGAGGTCAGAGAAATATTCTCCAAGTGCTGGATGACAGTGAGTAAATGAAATGCTACAGATTAGATCATGCAGGGAAAATATGTGTGGTTGATCTCATTAGGGGTACGCACACATTTCCCACCCAACGTTTTAACGCCAGAAATAAAATGATCACAACACTAAGATATTTGGAAAACTGGAAAATTCCAACAGTGCAGCAGTGATGACTTTGGTCTGTCTCAACATTGACAACACCTTCACAGTCAGCAGTTCATTTCATTTCCACTGGGTGTCCACACTTGAGTGTGGATACCCGACTTGAGCCTGACGGGACCCGTTGGAACCAGGTGGGTCGGGCCGGGTTCGGATAACAAATAAGAAATTTTCGCCCAGGTTTGCTTCAGATTCGGCCCACTTGGCATGCTGCTGTGTTGTGCTATGGCCTATTCAGGTGCTGGAATTTGTTATTTACGTGACAACACCAACGCAACACAGGCCAATAGTTACATTTCAGGCAGGAGGCAATAAATATTCAGACTGAACTAATGAAAATGGAGCATGCTAAAAAAAACTGCATCAGACTCGGGTCGGGTTCAGACTAAAAAATCAGAAAGTCTGTCAGGGTTGGGCCAGACTCAGTTATAACTGTCTTGGACTCGGGTCGGGTTCGGTCAGGAAAAAGCGCACAAAAGGCGAGTCTATGACAACCAATTACATCTGCTAAAAGAATGCATTGTACCAGGCAACAGGGTCAAGTTAGGAGCTCTCTGAAAGTGTCCTCAGAATGTTTGTGGATACAGCCCCAGGTCTCTTTAATCCTTGAACCATATTAGCAGTGACAGAAGAACCCCTTTAGAGTCTAAAAAACTGCACAGTCAATCACAAAACATGTCCACAGCATCATCATGCAAACACAAGCACAGCAAAATGCCTTCCTACTGCTCGCAATCTATCAAAACTTGTCGAAGTAATGAGAGTGATATCCATTGTTGCCGGATTAGACTGTCACCAAGTAGTCCAATCAGAGTCTCTAATCCAGCCAATTGTCAAAAAAGTATCCCAATTTTTAATTTCAATGAAGGAACGTGGCGGCCCGGTCCTTTTCTGTTATGTTCAGTGACTGAGTACAAGTGCAAGATGAAAAATAAAGCATTCAGTCAAAACTGCAAGATAAATGTCTGGGTGTTTGAACAATCTGACACTATGGAGATTCTATGTGTAATCATGACATAAAAAACACCTCTTTCCAGTAAGAAGTACCAATCCATAAAATTGTGTTGTCTGCAAATCCTTTTTCTCCACTTTCTCTTCAGTGTTCGGCTTCTTGCGGTGGCGGAGTGCAGCGTCGACTCATCAAATGTGTGAATACGAAGGCCGAGACAGAAGAAGAAGTGGATCAGGGTCAATGTGACCATGAGCTGCAGCCTGAGAACACCCAGAAGTGTAACCTGCTGGAGTGTGAGAGTGTCTCCTCTGGTGAGTCAATCAACATGACAATCATTATACCTGCTTAGCATGCTGGCATTAACATTTTGCTCAAAGCCAGCATGGCTATTGATTCTCAGAACCATGTTTAAGCAGTCTGATAGGACACGGTATAAAGTGCGTGGCGTAAGTGCATTTAGAGTGTGTCCAGTTCTACTTGCTAGATAAATAGTACACAATCTGTGTTTAGAATAATGTGCAAGGGCTTGTTTTTAGTCCCTTAATTAAACATAGGTGTGTTCTTGGAGCTATTTTTAGGGCGGATTCAGCACATTTAAGAGCTGAGCAATGCATTCAGAGCAGTAATGTCACTGCAGCAAATGTCCTGTTATATTTAAGCAGCAAAACTAAAACCTTTAGTTATAAGCTTTATAGAGGAAAGAAAGGTAAACTTTTAGCTTCTGAGATAATCAATGAAGTTACGCTGTTCCTCTTGTGTGTAGATGTCTACAGTATCTCTCTGAATAGGGAGTGAGACAGCAGCTCTGCAGCTCTTCCCAGCTCCCTGCTACGTTCACATTTTAGAGAATGTAATTAATATTTTCGTCTCTAATGCTGTATTACTTCACCCACCTGCAGCCGATCCATGAGTCCCTGTGTGTGTAACAAGGTGCGTTGGGAACCCACCTATGTAGGCATCTTACTATCTGAATGACACACCCTTTGAATAGCAGGAAAATACTCCACCATCGACTTCAGACCAGATTTCTGTTGGTCAACAGCTCAGTTGCTTTCTGCTGCCTCAAAATAGCAATACACCAGCAATGTGCCTGACCACACCTACACACCACTGGATGAACAGATGGGCGCAAGAGTACTTTGCTACTTACAAACAAGAACACTGGCCATGAAAGGGACAACTGTGTCGCTCTGAAACTGGCAATGACAGTTGAGCTGCACTGTGCGCCACTTTGCCCTGGGTGTAATATAGAGCCCTCTGTCATATTTGGGACTTGTGATGGTACACTTTGACTTCCCTCTGCAGGCATCCATTATATACTGGGCTAGTTGTGTCATTGAAATGATGATGATAATGACAATGATGGGGATAATTGCTTTTTTTGTTTGTCCTTTATTTAACCAAGAAGGTCCCATTGAGATCCAATGATTCCTGGGATCTCGTTTATACCCATTGTGTACGCACAAAACGGGGCCTGAAAGAAGCGTACGCCACTTCACACGCAAAAATGTAATCTATAAAAACAGACCTTGATGGGAGAAACCTTGACCCATGCTTACGAACATTGATGATGATGTAACGCCAAACCTGTATATGGATGTGTTCGAAATAGGGGTCGCCTCTATGGTTTGTTTTCTATATGTTGAAGAGGGACTCTGCTCAACACGTCTGTACCTTGAATTGAATAGACTTATAATAGACTGAATAGACAGGAACCAGAGATCTGTGTTTGGATTTTTTTCACTTCCTCCTGTCCGATCCATCAAATCGAACGATGTGAGTTATGATGTGAAACGTCATAACACATACAAGAAAAGAGGATGGACCAGCCTGTCAAGTCATTGCTGAAGGACTTTGATCATAGGGCATCTGAAAATGCATGTTATCCAAGAGAAAAGGTCTGATTCAATTTCCGCTGATCCTGGCCATGTTCCAGGCCCCATCACGTCAGTGTTGCTTGGACAGTGTGTGCATGTCAATAGGGATGCTGAGTGAAATGTCAAACTAGAGTGAACTTGAATTATGGCTGTTATTCTTGATAAATTTCAACAAAATGGACACACAGAATGTAGACAATACACAGAGGTGAATCCACATTACAGCCTCAATTTCGGACTGATTTCCCCTTGTAAACCTAGTGTTAATAAAAAAGAGAAAATGTCTTGAATTGAGCTTTTTAGCTTTGAGAAAATACATCAAGAAGATGCCTTTGGTAAGACATTAGAAGTTTGCTCCGTCGGGTCAATCCATCATGCCATACTCTGGAAAACTGTGATGAGCAATGGATAGAGGAACTCACTCAGTACTGTTGCATCCCCTTGCAATGACATGAAAACAATTTGTTCAGCTACTCCGAGCAGTAGCACAACAAAGTCAAATGAGTCTACAAAACCAATCTCCTGGGAACAATCAGACACCAGGCGTGACTCTTGCCAGCTTCTGTGGCGGAGCTCCAACCAACCTCTCGTTCTCAGCTGGAGGTCAACTCATTGCAACTTCATAAAACTCTCACAGTTCATTGACTGTGCAGCCTCCCATCTGAGCACATCACAATCTACAATAGAACTACCGGTATATATGTGGTTATTTCAGTGGGGTTTCAGTATTAAACCGACTCACTGCAGCAGCTTTTTTTGACCATATGAAGCAGTGCACTTTGCCATAAATCAACAGCAGCGTTATTTTTATCACTGGGAATCCACCAGCTCTTCCTCTAATGATGTCACATCGCCAGACCAGTGGAAATGCTGACTACAGTCACCTCAAAAGTCTGCTTTGTTCACATGGCAGTGTAAAAAAGAAAAAGCTCCAGCTTGAAGTAGAAGAAGCCATTTTCCATCAAAGCAACAATTCACAACAAGAAAATTAGAGGCTGCAAGTCTTCTCCTGCTTCAAATGCATCATTCATGGCTTGACATTTTTTTCTTCTTCTTTTCTGTCACGCTGTATCCAAAAGCCTCTTACCTATACTAGATCAGAGCTTTTATCTGGCTTTAATGTGCATGTTACTATGAAAGACGATGGCGAGAGAAGGCTTTTATTTTTTTTCAGGAAAGATGTATTTTTGCTCCAGTAGATCTTCAGAAAAAGAGTGGCTTTTATCTGCTTTTTACGTTAATAGTCGTCAAAGCTTACTGTTCCACGTGAAACTCTTGCAGATTGGAGCACGGAGCTCATTGAACCTCATCATCCTCATTAAAATACATAAATGATAAATGACAATAATCTCCAAAGATATCCATCACTTTTGCAGCTCCGTGTATAATTAAACATAATTTGCACTTTTTCATTGAATATTTTAATGTAGGCCACAACAGTTCAGTGTCATTTCTGTTTCATATCTAATATGAAATCACAGTGTCCCTCAAGTGTCACCCTGCTGGAGCCTGAGCACCAGCTTTGCTGACATTTTATGGTAAATATTTGTGGTGTATGATAAGGTGACAACAAACAGCTGCCCATATTTGCGCTGTGTGAGACCCTTCGTCTCGGTTAATAATTTGTTTCTGTGTTTTACTCCAACAAGGCAGTCAGATGGCTTCAGATATTTTTTTCCCTTCCTGTTGTCAAGGAAATCCTGGGCATTTATGTTTTCACACACATGTGAAGTGTCTGAAATTACATGCGTGTACATGTGATAACATCACGTGTGCATATTTGAAAAGGGTTTGTTAAGAAGAAACTGGCAGACTGAATCCAAAAGGCTAATTTTACTTGAATACTGCCTTGCATCAGAATGACATAATTACATCTGCCCGGAATTATAGTGAAAATGAAATGAATTTCAGAGAATGCAAGATTAACTAATGTCTCATCAGGGTTTTGGGTGCAGATCAGTGGTATCGAAACGTGATGTCCCCCAGCGTATTCAGACGATCCAATGTACAAGAATAAAACATATACTTGTGTTTTTGTAAAATTTAAATTATTAATTTTGCTACAGCGTGACATGTCTTTATTTAGGATGCTTTAGTAGTGCCTCAAGACAAGGATTATACCACAGCTAGATCCGACCTTGCATTATGTTCCTCTTCAGAGAGCATTTCCTCACCTTGTGTACCATTTCTCTCGCTCCTGTGGTGGAAATTGCCTGCAAACACTCAGCGCTCAGGAAATAAACACACGTATACAAAGCATTTGATGGGTTTGAAGAATAATACACTGTATAGAGTGTATTATGGACAGTATACCTGAGGCAGAAATTGTTCCCGTATCTCACTGAAAAGTCAGTCAGTGGTTTTCTTTGGGTAAATAACAAGCAGCAACCTCTGGGGCTGAGAAATGAAGCCAACAAAGAAGTGCCAAAATTGCAGTTCTTCAAATGGCCATTTGAGGCTGGCTCCAAAAGCGAATGAAGCCTCGTAGACGCCCATGTCGAAATGCCCAACTGCACAGCAGAAACAAACATGTTCACAGCCTGATACAAAAATGGTTTTGGTCTGTATAGCTAATTTTAACATTCAAGACGACTATATGAGAGATGAATTTTTATTTAACCCACTCGTTTAAATTTTATTAACACTTAAGTAATGCGTATCTAAGGGCGGGGCCGCATTAAGTGACAGTCTATAGCCCAGTTTCCACCATGCAGTGCAGCACACTTCAGTTTGATGTTCCTCAGTGTCACCAGTGATGAGGAAATACAGTGAGTGCTGGACGGAGCAGTGAGTGACAACAACCCCGTCCATATTTAAAAGTACTGTTTGCGGTGGAAATGCTAGGGTCTAGGTACCATGTCTGAAGGGTTACTGTTGGCTCCAAAGGTACCATACTGAAAGGGTTTGGTGAAAACAGGGCTTATGGGTTACATAATAATAATAATAATAATAATAATAAGCATATACATAGACCTACACATGAACACATACCTGTAAGTGTGCATACATATAAATGTGGCTGCAAATACAGACACAACCACACACACACAATAAATCTATCAACTGTCAGGAAAGGCCAGTCTGTAAGAGTAAGTTTTCAGACAAGATTTTAAGACGTGAACACAGTCAGCTAATCTGATGTTCAGCGGGAGGCTGTTCCAAAGCCGAGGAGTAGGAACTGAAAAGGCTCAGTCACCCTTTGTTTCTAACTTGGACTCTGGAACAGGTAGAAGACCCGGACTAGCAGACCTGAGAGGCCTGTTACATTTACGCTCTCAGGTGCCAGATCATTGAGAGCCATGTATGTGATTAAAAGCACTTTAAAATGGATTCTAAAACTGGAGACTGGAAGCCAAAATAGGTGTGATGTGTGAGGATCGTTTTGTTTTGGTCAAAAATCTAGCTGCTGGATTTTGAACAATATGGAGCTGATG